GCTCTGCTTTGCTTGGGTTGCCAAATACCTCTTTGTGTTCGCTCTGCAAGTGAGCATTTCAATAGTCTCCTCTTGGCCCCTGAAACCTGGCACGGAGGGTTCCTAGGGTGAAATCCTTTAGATTTCCTCCTAACTGAACGGGGAGAAAAATTACAGCTGAAAAAAACCCTCTTTTCTATTGAAACTAGGGGTGGGGGTGAAATAATTAAAACAAATAGTTTTCCTGACCAATTTAGCAAAGTGTAATCTTTTTTTTAAAATAACATTAATATTAATCCAATTTTTAAAAATTGTATACATCTTTAACATTGGATTTTATTTCATTTCCAAAATAAGGTGTTAAAACAATTGAAAAGTTATTCCAGACAAAGCTTCAGTTGCATAAATCTGTCACATTTATCATCCCCATCTGCTCCTCTCCAGGGGTCATTTCATAGAAAAAGAGGTGCAGGGGCTCATTAGCATAACTTATTAGCATAACTTATTTGCATATGCCACACCCCCTGACATCACGGGAAGTGTGTCAGAAGGCAACACCCACCGCTCAGGCTCCACTGGACTGTTTTGGATTGCTAGCTATTGGGGGGGGGGGATGTGTAGATCTGTCGTCGCAGAGGAAGGAGAGCTTGTACCTGAATAAAACTTGGTCTTAAAGGTGCCACTGGACTGTTTTGGATTGCTAGCTATGGGTGTGTGTGTTCAGATCTGCCCTCACAGAGGAGGGAGAGCTTATACCTGAAGGCAGGCCGGGGGGGGGGGGCTCTGCAACTTACCTGGCTGCTTCTTGCTCCTCGTGGCCCGACTGAGGGCTGCTGGGAGCAGGGGCGGGGCTTGTTGCATGTGCCTGCCCCCTGGGCTCCTTACTGCTGGAGCTCTGCGCCTGTGCGCTCCTGCAGGAAATGACCCCTGCTCCTCTCACATATAAGAACACAATTAATTATTTCTACCAGAGGTCATTTCGGGGGGGATCACGGGGATCGCAGTTCCCCCCGGGTGAGGTACGGGTGGCGGGGCACATGACAAAGCCCCGCCCCCTGCTTCCGGCCACCCCGCTTCCGGCCTTCATTCAGCCAGGAGGAGGCAGGAGAAGAGGGAGAGTAAGTTGCTTCCGCCCTGCCTCTCCCCACCCCTGCCTGCCTGGGGCCAGGGAGGGCCTTCGCGGGGCTTCCTTGCACTCCCGCTGGCCTTGCAGGTCCACCGCCGGGCCCCTCATGGGGCTCGGCAGTGGAGCTGCAAGGCCGGCAGTGGCCGGGACCGTTGGGGGCGGGGTGTGTGGCCTTATGACACACTTCCGGTGATGTCAGGGGGTGTGGCATATGCTAATGAGTTATGCTAATGAGTCCCCCTAGCTCTTTTTCTACGAAACGACCCCTGATTTCTACCATAGTTTTTCACTGTGTTCAAACCAAACACAACAGCACATATCCAACCACACAGTTCCTCTAATGGAACAGCAGTTCTCTTTGAAGAAGTCGGGGGTGTGTGTGTGTGATTTCCATGAATTCTTCCCTCTCACTGCAGACACCCCATTTAATGTTCGTGAGTGTCCACCCACCCACAAGAACAAAATTGAAGGAGAGGGTGTGTCCTAGGAGGCTGTAGGTAGAGGGGAAAGTGGGAATGTCCTGCTCTGTGAAGTCCTTGGATGTTTGGCTTTCTGTCCAATGGTTTGCTCTTTTCCTAGCATAACATGATTTCAAACCAGGCCCAAACTGGAATTTGAGGATCTGATTGGCAAGGAAGAAAGTGTGTGATAGGGGTCTATGGCTATCTACAAAAGCAGAATTCTTCAATGATCTCATTGCCCATAGGAAGGAAGTAGGGAAGAACAGAAACTTGGAGATTTCCCAGGCTTGTTCAATGTGATGTAATCATTAAGAATGTCAGAGCAGGATCTGGGAGATCCAGGTTCAAATTCCCCAGCTCTGCCATGGAAGCTTTCTGGGTGATCTTGGGCTCTCAGTCTACCCTACCTTACAGGGTTGTTTGTATGGTGACGAAATGGAGCAGGGGAGAATGATGTAAGCCATTTTGGGTGTCCAGTGGGGGGAAAGTGGGGTATAAATATCTAATAAATGTGTATGTGTTAAGTGCTGTCAAGTTGTGACATATCCTTATATCTGAAACATGCCAGTATGTAGTGCAAACTTGACCAAATCACTGAAGTTCTCTGAGGTTCACATGTTGTTTGATTTTCTCCATATTTGATTTCGATACACTTGGTGACCTGCACTGCAAAGCACTGCAGTGGAGCGTTATGAAACTTCACACTGTTCATTCACACAAACAACCCATTACTTGATGCTGCAGTCATCTAGTGATACATGCAGCTCTGAGCTTCACCTCATCATGAGTAAGAGAACTCCTGGAGAAAATGGCTGCTTTGGAAGGTGGACTCTGTGGCATTATATCGTACTGAAGACCCTGCCCTCCCTCAATCCCACCTTCCTCAGGTTCCACACCCAAAATCTCCAGCTATTTCCCAAACCACAGCTGGCAACCCTAACATGTGTCCTGGAGAGGGGAGGACTTGGGGTGGATGGGGAGGCCTCAACAAGGTATAGTGCCATAGAGTTCACTCTCCAAACCAGCCATTTTCTCCAGGGGAACTGATCTCTGTCCCTTGGAGACCAGCTGTAATTCTGGGTGGTCTCCAGCCACCGCCTGAAGGTTGGCAACCATAGGCTAAAACACTCACTCAGCAATCAGGACTAATACTGGGGGGGGGGGGGGGGGGGGGGGGGGGGGGGAGAGAGAGAGAGAGAGAGAGAGAGAGAGAGAGAGAGAGAGAGAGAGGAAATTATCATTTGCTTCTTTTATTGTAAACCCCTTTGAGCAATGGAGAAAAGTGGCATATAAATACAGTATGTAAATAAGTAAAAATAAAGCAGAGTACAGTCCATTGTAGAACCTCGTTTCCTCTTCCGCCCCCCAAGAGTTCTTTTCGATTCTTTTAGTTTAGGTGACTGGCAATGTTTTGTTTCAGGGCACACTTATTGCCATGAGAATAAGCATCCTGAAATAGTGTGTGTTTTCCAAAGAGAAGATCTGTCAAGTATGCTTTCCCTCTGTGTGTTGAAACAGGAGCCAGCGAAAGGACGGAGCAGCAGAAGAAAAACAGCGGTTTCGAAGATGAGCTTTCAGAAGTCCTTGAAAGCCAAAACAATAAGAACACAGAAAGAGGTCAGCCTAACCCATGTGAAATCCAGGCAGAGTCCCACAAATGTGGGTGTTACTTCCAATGGCCTTGGTATGCTCACACACACACCTGCTCTCCACTGGAGATCTTTTCTGCACCAGCATGATTACGTGACCTTGTTGTCGCTTTGACACTGGTTCACAGCTGTGGAAAGCATCCATAATTAACTGACAGCTTTCTGAATAGCAAGTACTGAAATTTTCCTCCCCCATCAACTTTGCCTTTCCTTTATCACCTAAGAATGCGTGTCAGACTGGCTGAAAACACCACTGTGGCTTAGGCTCCATTGGAGCCCAAGAGCTGTAGCCTAGGCTTTTGGAATATCACCCCACACCTCCCTGTTTTGAAGAACAGGTGCTTTGAGGATTTAGAAATAAGCAATAATGATAAAGCATGCTACTTTATATTCTATAGCACTTTTTATTAGAGCTCAAAGCAGTGTGTATGTGTCTGTGTGTTTGTGCATGCGCGTGTGTGTATTTGGAATGAGCCAGGTTTTTCATTCAATCTTACTCCATTCCCCTCCTCACTATAACCTCCATTCCACATAGATTTTGTACATGCAGGACCCAAGATCCCCAGCATAGCATTTTTGAGGTCTTCAGTGGGGACCTCTCCTTCCTTTTTTCACCAGTAGAGAAAGAGGTTATATCCAATTAGGGTTGCCCTCTGGTGCGGCAGGAGGTTTCCCACACCCCAGCTCCTGTGTCCTGCTACCACTCTGAATGGTAGTGGGAGAAAAGTATTAAAAAATGGCTTTCTGGGGCTTGGTGGTCCCTAGAAAGGCTTGATATAATTTCTAGGGAAACCCGGTAGTAAAATCTTGCCACTGCTGCTGGCTGCCTCCCGTGTCCCTGGCCTCCCCCTGGTCTCCCATAATCTTATTTGCCTACTCTTGATCCTATTGTTTTATTTATGTGTACCACTTCAAGTCTATTGAAGTCAATGAGCCCAGAAGGGTGTAACTCTGTTTAGGATTGCCATGTGATATTTTCAACTTGTTCCAAATGTAGAAAAGGAGCCATGCAAAAACCTCTAAATAAATACAACACATCTATGCTCTGATTTCTGAAAGAGAAAATCAATATGTTTCAGTATTAGACAATTCTCTGAGCTAGAGTTCTACAAAACCCCGCCCGCCTCACAGCGGCAGAGAATTGTAAATAGTGGTTTGGTCATTTTATGACATGGCACTAGGATAGTTTGCAGTGAGAATTCAGCCTTTGCACATTGAGTAATTTTCTGCTTTTTAAAATAAATTTGACTTGCAGATCTATCAGAGGGGATCCCTAATGAAGAGCCCACCACCTCTTTTGCTGAGCTAGAGAAAGAGAGAGGTCTGATGGACACGGAAAGGGATGTTTCAAAAGAGGATGAGAGCAACAGCTTGGAAGAGAGAGAGACGAGGGCTCGAGAAGTTGATCCTGAAGAGGGAAAGGAAAATGTTGCAGGTTTTGAAAGCAATGAAGTTGGTGAGACTGAAGAATTGCCTTGGGATGACGCAGTTGACAATCGTATCCATGATGACCTTGGAGGCAATGGGATACATGAGCAGGGACACCAGGAGGGTGAAGAACCTGCAGGGAGAGAGGAAGCAGATGAGCTTGAGCAGAAGGAGCGTATTTCTAAGAACAGTCAAGAGGAGAGCCATGAAGAAGTAGAGGACCCTATCCAAGACCATGCTGAAGATGAAGAGGAGGAGGAAGAGGAGGTGGAGGAGGAAGGAGAAGAAGGAGAAGAGAGAGGGACCTCTGAAGAGGAACGTGCTACTAATTCGGAGGATGAGGGTGATCAAAAGGAGATTGGTAGGTTATGCCCAAGCCCCTTGCTTTAGGGAGGGGCCGGGGCTCAGTGGTAGGGCATCTGCTTGGCATACAGAAGGTCCCAGGTTCAACCCCCAGCAACTCCAGTTAAAAGGATCAGGTAGGAGGTGACGTGAAAGACTTCAGCTTGAGACCCTGGATAGCTGCTGCCAGTCTGAGCAGACAATACTAACTCTGACGGACCGAGGGTCTGGTTCAGCATAAGGCAGCTTCATGCATGTTCATGCGTGATTTGTCCTCTGGTGAGTTATGTGCTTACCAACATTAATGTCAGTCTGAGTTTTATGGGGCACGTTATCCATTTTACTTAAGCTTCTAAAAGAGGCAATATCAGGAGAAGACCTTGGCCAGGGCCTCTATGGTCTGTTGTTGGCCCTCCAGAGGACCTTGGTTGGCCACTGTGTGAGACAGGATGCTGGACTAGATGGACCCTCACTGGCCTGATCCAGCAGGGCTCTTGTTATCACTATATCTAATAGCCAAGTTGCCCCCTCCGTGCGGATCGCTATATCCGCACTTCGGGGGCACTTGGGGGGCAGGGGGAGGTCTGTGCACTCCTGGGGCAGTCCCCAGGGGTGCACAAAAATCTAAAAACTAAAAAAAAATATCGGGGGGATGTTTAAATCCCCCCGAAAGTGCCAGAGTGTTCGTGCGCATGCGCACGAACGCTCTTTAGCCGACCTTGCCACAGCCACCTGGAGGAGGCCGGGCGGACAGGCAGGCGGCCGGGGAAACAGCGAGGCCCGAGGCAGCCTCGATTCGGAGCCGGAAGGGGGGGGAAACAGCCGCTCCGAGAGACACCCCGCCGCCAAGTGAGGAGGGGGAAGAAAGTCGGGGAGGGGAAGAGAGACTGCCGAGGCCCGGCGGATGTAAGCCGCGCGGGCCTCGGTACACGGGGAAAAAGAGAGAGAGAGAGAGAGAGAGTGGGGGGAGGGGGAAGAGAGACTGGTGAGGGGGGAGAGACAGCCCGGCGAGGCCAAGCTTTGACGGGGGAGAGAGAGAGAGACTGGGGGGGGAGTGAACGGG